CTACTTCGATGACAGTTCGAAGCAATATCCCAATGGCCAAGGCCATCGATGAAAATACGAGTTCGACCTCGTTCAAATCAAGACGGGATCCTACTTCGATGACAGTTCGAAGAAACATCCCAATGGTCAAGACCAACGGCAAAAATATGAGTTCAACCTCTTTCGAACTACTATGGGATCGTACTTCGACGATAGCTCGAAGCAGCATCCTAATGGCCAAGGCCATCGCCAAAAAAGGGGGGAATCATCCTCACCCTAAAGCTTAATCAACTCAACAAGATCAATAGGTATCCCGGACACCATAAACATTGCAAAGACACCCACAAATCGACAAAATAAAAATCTACATTGCATCAAAATATTATTTACATTTGTCCTTACAAACGTGCTCAAACATGCCCCTATGGAAGCCCCAAAACAAAAGTAAGTACGAACAAAAGATTACACATTACCCTAGGGGGTAAGCATCCTCATACCAAGAGTCCGAAGCAAGATGGTTCGCATCATCAGAATTGATGTCATCTCCGTCAGGTGTAAGAGGGTCGTACCCATATGCCTTACGCGTTGCACGAGCTTCAGTATGCATGTTTTGAAGTTTCACTTCAGTTGCCCTCCCTTCAGCGTGGAAATCCTTGTACACGTCAAGCCAGGCCTCAACCAGGACCCACAACTTATATAAACGACGAGGAACGATCGGGTCGGCCGAGGCACGGGACGTTGAAGATTGAGAGTGTCGATTTGCATCCTCCGCTCTCAGCGAGGTCACTTGCCCATTCAACGTGGATAGCTCTGCCTCCAACTCTCTAACACGCCCTTCAAGCCCCATGACCTTAAGAGTAGAGGCCTCCTTCTCCTCAGTCAGCTCTGACTTACAAACACGGAGGGCATTCTCCAAATACGTTGTTCCAGAAATAGTTGTCGCCAACTTATCAGCACCGACGTTCAGCTCGCCCTTAAGTCCCTCAATCTCCACCACCTTCGCACTTAGTTCAGCGGTCAAACTGGCTACCTTCGTTTGCAAATCAGCATTCTCGGTCATCACCCCCTACTCAACTCGAGCTCAACCTCCTTCAGGGAGGCCTCAAGTTCACTGTTACGGGCGACAGCCTTCACAAGCTCCTCATCCCGCTCCCTCAGCTCTTCGATCTTGCGCTCCAATAGGTCCTCCCTTTGTTTGAGCCCTTCGTGAAACAACTGAAACTCAGGATCCTGATTGTAAATATCAGTCATCACACGGTGCTTAGCGTGATACCGCTGGTACTTGGACGACATCTTCTCATAGATGGTCGTCCTTTTCCTCTCTCGACGTTCTCGCTCGGTCTCCATGATGAGGGTCTGGCACAAAGGAAAAGAAGTTAGAAACAAAGTACAATCTGACGATCGCCACACAAACCCAATGACAAAAAGGGAAGGAAAGGCACCTACCCGCAAAGCCATACCAGTGACGTTTTGAGACAACTCCATATCGCTCATCGCCCTAACCACCTCATTTTCAGGGGCAACACATAGAGGATCTAAAACAGAAACCATTTTCTCACAGTTTAACAGCAAGTTGTAGTCCCCCGGGACTACTATGTGACGATCAGTCCCTTCCGCTCTGACCTCCACGCGAGTACAGCGACCTACGAACTCGTTGACATCCTCCGGGTCGACATCTGAATCTAAGTCGTCACCCTCGATACGACGACCTCCAACGTTGGACGATGCGCCGCCCTCAGCAGAGCACACGAAGCCGGCTCCTGGTTAAACTCCTTCCACTTGGGGAGATCCCTCCAATAAAATGGCGCCAGCCATAAATGTGGGTATGGGTGCTACCTGTGATGCCTTGCTTCTATCAGCGTCCATGGCCACGCCCTTCTCAAGCTCCATTCTCCTCCTTTTTCTTGATAACGACTCGTCCCCATTGGAGGATTCGTCTAAGAGGTGTGGGGCCGTCATTGAAGAAGCCTCCTACCTCACGACCACGACCCGAGAGGGACCTTCTAATTGAACAGGTTGAGGACGACCCTCTCAAATAGATTCACTCAAAACAAATTGCATATCCGCGGCAGCAACGGCCTGTCGAATTGCATGGACTGGCGCCCTCTGCTTGGAAGCTCATCGACCTGCCATCACGAAGAAGTCAAATTAATGGACGACGATATATGACCAACGAAGTGGTAAGGGGAAAACACTCGCCAGTTGGAACTTTAAGGTCGTAACGCTTTATGAAGGAGGGCCAATCTCGGATTTCCGCTACATTGGGTAACAGACAGGCTACCCAATCCCTTATGCCCACAATAGGTCGGGCCAAACGTCCCATAGCTACAAACTAGAAGCAAACAAACTTTATAACGAATACTAACGAAGGAAGAATAAAATGAGTGACGATACTTACGAGTCTCGTTCCATCGCTTCGGGAACCTGGCGGAGCCAGAAATGATATGTTCAATTTTGACAAAAAAGTACTTGTGCCAAAATATGCGTCTTGCTCGGTCGTCTATCCCGACCACCAGCCCTTTCATGCCACGGTGCCTCAAATGCACCATGGTACCTCTGTGGAAGCTAGGCGGGAACAGGTGCAAAAGGTGGTGTATAGAAACATTACATTCCACCAACTCCGCATACTTGGTCAACAGCAGAAGCACCTTAAGAGTATACGTCGAAAGTTATGCCGAGCAAACTTGGTAGAACCTACAGAACTTTTCTGCTAAGGGGAAGAGAGGAAAAGTGTAGCCAATCATGAAAGGGTACTTATAGAAAGCGCAGTATCCAGGTCTGTGGACCTCTACAAAATCTCCCACCGCCAGAATCATGTCAACGTGAGCGGGAATGCTATACTTTATACAAAGAGTGTCAATGTGAACCTGCTCCGTCTCAGAAAGTACAGGGGCAGGAGTAGGAGGAGGATCTTTGAGGAAGTCACTTTGAGACATGGGGTGTCTCGGCAATAACTTCTCCACTATAGGGAGACTGTCACCCTCTTCTACCATCGTATCTTCACCGCCTGAAGGGGGCGCCGTGGACAATGGGGTGGCCTCAGGATCCCCTTCACGAGAACGATGTGACCTCGGCATGCTTTCGTCCAAAGAGGTATTAATAAAAAAAAGAAGGAGGAAAAAGCTGTGAATGAAGAATATGAGAAGAAGAAGCAAAAGGGTATAAGGGCAAGCTCGGAGAAATAAGGGCAGGTTATCAGGAGTGAAATGGCCAAGAACTTTCAAAAAAACAAACCCTCCACCTATTTATAGGGTTGGGCGGCGCTAGAATCGAAGCGGAAGGTCACAGAGTAGCGCTAGAATCGAAGCATCAAGCCATCAACTCCTGCCCGGAAAACATGCGTAATGATGACGCACGTGAAGATGATATCATTTCCCGGTAAAATGTATTACCCGATGTCTTGCTAAGCACGCTGACCGTTCCCCATTGGCCATGTCGTAACACCTCGAAGGATCAAATTTCTCCATAGGAACGCATGATATCCGCTCATCGAGGACGCACCCAGTTGCAACCCCGACAAGCGGAGGGACTAACTGTATGAGTCCAAATTTGACCAGTCACGACCAACGACGAGTACGACAAATGACGGGGTCTCCTTGACTCGATGTCCTGTGGGAGACGACCTTAAGGCAAACAAGAGACTGTACGACCCTTGTAATAGTACAGGTCCATTAGGGAACATTAGAAATATTCCTTGTAACTTGTCTTTTACAACTTAGAAGGGTTTCGCTCCTTGTATATATAGAGGACAATAACCTTGTAGGAGGGAGGGACAATATTGGATATAATTCTGCTTACGAATAAGAAGTGTTCTTAAAAGGATTTTACTGATTCAGATCGATAAAGAAATCTTATTACCCATCTTCTCCTTACCTATCTTCCAATCTAGAGATTATTATACTTAGCTAAGATTTACCCCTTCAAATTTGATTGATTTGTTCCAAAAGATTTCGATATCTTTTGAGCCAAACAATGACTAAGTTCTGTTTTGAACTTTTGATTGCAATTGTGTTTAGTATTACTTTTTATTAACTTCCTTTTAGTGTTTCTTTTATTTAGGGTTATGAACTTATTACTTGGTTTATCAGCAAATTGAGCTATTGGATTTTGAAGAAGAAGAACGAAATCAAGAAAATTGGATAACAGAAGAATAAAGAACGAATATGAAAAAAAAATCTACATTTTAAATAGCTAAATTTGTTTATGTAATGCCAATATTTTGGTGTTACTATTATATGTTATTGTTTTCAACTGAATTTACTGTCATTGATTAAATTATGTCATGATTTGCAGTTGAGTTTTATCCTCATAAGTTGCACCCTAAACTCATGGTGGTGATAGGACTTCAAACTAGAATAAGGGGGTGATAGGATATCCGGAAAATTAAGTTGTGTAGTTAAGTTTTCTGGACAAGTTCAAGATACAACTTATGTATTTTTTCTTATGTTACTCTGACTTCCCCAAAATAGCTGGGCATGTCGAATTCTTCAAAAGTAGTATATTTTTGAAAATTTGACATGGATGCGACAACATTATTAAAATAGCACGGGCTACCCAATTTTTAGACTGGTCATTCAAAAATAGTCAGCGTTTGCAAAGTTATTGAAAAATAACCACTATTTTGCTGCAACAGGAACCAGTCCAGCATAATATAATGGAGATCGATGCATCTATGTATGAACTTCCAGCATATTATGCTGGATCTCCAACACGCGAAAAGTTCTAGCATAATATACTGGAAATGGGAGCACTTGTGAATGAACTTCCAGCATGTTATACTGAACCGATATATTATATTGGAACTCCAGTATATTATGCTGGAACTAGTATACTTATGCTGGAACTCCATTATAATATGTATATTATGCTGGAGTGTTTTCCGGATTTTGAATATTATTTCATTCAGATTTATCTTTACATGAAAAGTAGCTAAATTTCAATTACTTTTGAAATTGTGGCTATTTATGAATCTGGCTATTTTTTAATTTCTTCCGATATCATTTTAGAGAGTCTGCTCAACATAGAGTTAAAAATAACTGATGACTACTATCATATGGATTATTAGTCTTACAACTACTTGAACACAATGCTTTAAAACTAATACTATTTAATATTACTGATACTAAATCTTTTAATCTTTGATCCTGCTGCTGATAAAGGATCCTTTCTTTTTCAGAGTCCTTGTAGATCACCACCTCTTGCCTTCAAATGATTTACAAAATCAGTTACAATATTAACCCTTAAATCCCTTGTTTAATACAAATATTCAAAATCACAAATAATCCAAGATTTTAAACCAGAGGTTACAGTCCATTTCCACCACATGTAAATTAATATTGCAAGATGTCTGCATTCATAATTGGCTGATTGGAATACACATAATTCCAAGAATCATTCATAATATAACCATCAGCCATATACTCAATTTGACTATTGCCACTGTTGTTGGCATTCAAGAAACTGATGATTTGTGTTAAGGACTCAAATCTGTTGCTAAGTTCAGCCACTTGAGCTCTCAAGATTAAGTTCTCAGCTTCAACATTGAGATAATATTGGGTTGTGACATTCATAGTGGTTAAAATTTGGTTATTTTCTTTCCTTTGATGAGCTAATTGGGACATAAGATCATCCAAATGCTTTTGTTTCCTCATTCTTGATCTTCGAGCCGATTCGCGGTTCGATATCATTCTCTTCCTCTTCCTCTGATCCATTAATTGTTGAAGATCTTCTTCTGAGCCTGAGTTCTGAAGTGTATATGACCCTGAACCTGATGATGTCCCACTTGATGAAGCCATGACCAAATTTTTTTATGACCAAAACTTAGGAACAATAGAGTAGTAGTAGTAGTAATAATAATAATAATAATAATAATAATAATTGAAAATTAGCAGGAAGCTAGGGGAGCAAATGGTATCAGATACCCAGTAGTTCTAGCCGTAAATGGTGGATACTAGGCGTTGTGCATATAGACCTGTGCAGTACTGCATCTAACACATTAAATATTCCGTCTGGGGTGTACGTTCGCAAGAATGAAACTCAAAGAAATTGACGGGGAACAATAGTGTAGTAAAAATAATTGAAAATTAGCAGGACCTAGAATAGTGATTTTGGTGCAAACAAAGAGTACTAGAATGAATATATACTACTTTATTTGTTGAGTTGGGTGTAATAGGGAATACTTATTTATGGGAAATTAACTATGAAATGCAGTAAAACCAATAGAGGAAAACAACTGAGAAAGATTGCACTAAATGAGTCCTGCGCCTATATGTGGAATTTATCATAAAACCAGAAAGGAAGAGTTCAGTGAGAATTGTAGACATGAATTTCAAAGATTAGAAATAGTAACTTTAGCATCAAGATTTGCTAAAAAGCCCCAGATAATTCTGAGGCACAAATTTCAAACTTCTATTTATGTTCCAAGAAAATCTTGAAAATAAATTTTTTTTTAAGGAGATTAAAACAAGAACAAGAAACTAGTAAAGGGGCTTTGAAACAGAAAAGAAGCAGATTTATAGGTTGAAACTATGAAGAGAAAAAGAAGGAAAAAGAGAGAGAGGGTTGTAGAGGTATTTTGGCTGGGATTTTATAGCTGAAAAAGTGGGACAGCATCTGAAATTTTTTCAGGGAAATGTTTTTTTTTTTTTAAAAAGATTAATTAAGAAGGGAAAATCAAGTGGAAATAAAATAGAAAGAAGTTTGGAATCTTTGGAGAAAAAGGGTGGGGTGTGGGGAAAAATATGATGGGACATGTGGGGTTGGAGCAGAATACTCCACAACCGTCTAGATCTAGCTGGGGTGCAACATTGCTAGAGTGAGTTAAAGGTCTCAAAAAGTATTATTCCTAAATTTTCCTTATATATACATGTGATATATATATATATATGTATATATATAATATCTTGAAAACAGTCTCTCCGCCTTTTATAGAACAGGGGTAAAACTGTGTATATACTACCCTCCTCAGTTCCTACGTATGAGATTAAGTTGGGTTTGTTGTTATTGTATATATATCAAATGTGAATACATAATTATTTTGCATTTTAACTAATCTGATTGTGTATATATTTTCTTGACGGTTAATGCACAAAACATAGTACTCACTCTTTTCTGTTCCTGTCAAGTCCTCATGCTTTAAAATATTTTAGCCATCAGATTTAGAGGCAAAGCCAAGATTTAGTGCTTATGGAGTCGACCATTTGGCATTTGGGGTTCTGGTCCCTTTGAGTTACTGGGTTTTAAATTGATAATTTATATATATTAATTTAGTATTTTTAAAAAATAAATATAGAATTTAAACTAAAGCTACTGAATTCAATTGAACTCGCTTTCTACATTCTACCTCCGCTCCAGATCAGATCGTACTAGGAATCTTACAATTATTTTCTTACGGTTAAAATGAAAAGCTAAAGAAAAAGAAGTAAAGAATCTCTGATCATTCCAGGTAAAAGGAGTATCCTAGTCGTATGCACACCTCTTGGTGAAAGGTTTCCCCAACCTTAGTCACAATCCCACTAAACCAAACTAACTGAGACTTGTCCTCTTTTACATGTTCATCATTTCTTTCTTACACTAATGGTTGTTTGGTGGTACGCAGATTAAATTATTCCGAGTTTATAGTCATGTGATTATAATTTCTGAACTAAATTTTCACCTGGGAGGTGTGATAGAATAATTTTAAATTTGATGGGATAAGGTGAGATATCTAAAATTAAGTCTCGTACTAAACTTATACTATGTTTGATTAATGGTATAAATTTATTCAAATAAATTTATATCGCCAATCAAACACGATATAAATTTATTCTCACACTTTATCCCATCTCATCCCGCACACCAAATGACCCTTAATAGTGTAAACGATTATTTGTACAATTAATGAATTTTAATATTTAATAATCAGGGGCAGATGCACATGAGAGGAGGCGGGTTCACGTAAACCGATCCTCCTCCCCCTAAATCATATATAGCACTAGTAAATTTCAGCTCAAATACTTAAATTAATATGAGTGAACCCAAGGTCAAGTGAACACTTTAGTACATAATTAGTAAGGAGGTGCACATTCTACTTCTAATCGGTGGTTTGATCCCCATATTCTTTCTTCTTTTAAATCATATTTAATTAATAAATAGGGTTAAATCCCCGTGATTTGCCATGTTTTCTAATTAAATACACTTTTTGTTTCTCTCTCTCACATCCTCCCCCCTTATTAGTTACATGTTTTCTTTTTATGTTTTTTCCTTCTCTTTTTTAGTCCTTGTTTTGACTTTTAAAATTTCTAAATAAAAAACACATCTCTCAGACAACCTCTCCAAAACTCGGGTCTCCAGCACTATGGTGCACTCATTGTTGAGTATAGTGGGGCTCAACTATTTATTAATTAAGTGTAATTAGTTAGTTAGTTAGTTTGTAGTAGTATAAATACAGTAGTTAGTTAGTGATGATGTACAACTATTCATTTTTCTTCTTCTCAGTTGACTAATAACAAAGCTTTTTCTTCATCTCTTCTTCTTCTAGAACTTTCTTTTGTGCCATGATTGTAGCTCTTTAACATGGTATCAGAGCTTGGTGCTCGATTTCATTAAGCTCAGCCGTGATAAAATTTGAATCATTCAGCTGTATCGAAGCATCCGCTCATCAATTTGATCGAGCCATTTTTCAACACAGAAATCTCTTTGCTCGACCTAGGGTTGGAATTTTTTTGATTTTCTGGTTGAATCGCGGTCAAATTATATCTAATTCTGGGTGATTATGATAAAATTGTAAGAATTTCTGGTGAAGTGTTTGCTGATGTGACAATGTCGATCAATGAAGATATAGTTGGCTCACCTGTTGCTGCGTCACTGTCTACAGAACTCGTCGATCACAACCATCATCTCTACATCATCCATTTGATACTCAAGGTTCTGCTCTAATTTCTATTTAGCTTCAAGATTCAGAAAACTATTCTATTTGGGGTAGATCTATTAAAATTGTATTGCATGGTAAAAACAAGTTAGGGTTTGTTCTAGGTACTTGTAGAAAAAACAGATATGATACTAGTTTACATGAACTGTGGGATAGATGCAATGCTATTGTACTTGCTTGGATAATGAATACAGTTTCACCAAATTTAATTAGTTTAGTGATCTATGCTTCCGATGCCTATACAATGTGGGAGGATCTTAAGGAAGTATTTGATAAGGATAATGCATCCAGGGCTTGCTATTTGCATAAGAAAATTGCCACATTAACTCAAGGCATATCCTCTGTGTCTGTGTATTACACTAAACTGAGAGAATTGTGGGATGAGTGTGAAACTTTGACTCCTCCACATATTTGTGGTTGTGCTGAATCTTGGAAAAATGTAGAGCACGATTAAATACAGAAGTTGTATCAGTTCCTCACAGGGTTAAATGAGTCCTATGAGAATGCAAAAAATCAGGTCCTCATGACTCGACCCTTGCCTAATCTAAACCAAGCTTATGCTATGATAGTTAATGTGGAGAGTCAGAGAGTTAATGGAAAATGTGTATTTGCTAAGTGTAATGAAGCTGCTATGATGAGTAATAAGGGGTATACTGGAGGCTATAATAGTGGAGGACATACTAACAACAATCCTAATGGAGGTTATACAGGTGGATATAATTGTGGAGGACAAACGAACACTAATTTCAGTGGAGGCTATAGACCTAGAAACTCATTTGGTAAAGGTGTTGTTTGGTGTGACTACTGTAAATATAAGGGTCATACTAGAGAGAACTGTTTTAAGCTTCATGGCTATCCTTCTGACTTCAAAAACAAGAGAAAATGAGGGGCATCAAATGGACAGGCTAACAGTGTGACCAGTTCTGGTGTTCCAACCTCAGAGATAAGGGTCAAGGATATCAGACACCAACAACCTCTCCAACTCACTTCTTTACTCAGGAACAGTACCGGCAGATTCTGCATTTGCTGACCAAGGATAAGGAAGTTGAACCTGCTGACAATGATGTCACTGCAGGAACAACAGGTAGTATACATGCATGTATGACAATTCTGATACATAGTAACTGGATTATAGACACAAAAGCAACAAATCATATGGTTCATAGTTTGCACTTACTAGAGAAGTATGATGAAATACCAGAAAATGCTAGGAGTAAAGTTCATTTACCAACAGGAGAACGGGTGTCTATTACTCATACTAGTATTTGTTCTTTCTTCAAAAATAAAAGGGTTCAGAACATTCTTCGCATTCTAGAGGTTAAATATAACCTCCTCTCAGTGTCCAAACTCATAAAGGCGTTGCAGTGTCTAGCAGCATTTACCCTAATTTCTGTATCTTTCAGGAACTCTCACGTGAGAAGGTGTTGGAGATTGGTAAGGAAGAGTTGGGTCTGTACATTCTCAAGGAAGAATACAGAGCAATACTCTATCACCAAGGCACTCATTCCAATTCAATTGTATATACCATTCCAGGCGACACCAATAAATGTAGTAATCTAGCAAATAATAAGACTTGTGTTGTATCTTCTTTGTGGCATCGAAGATTAGGACATGCTTCTTTAAAGGTTTTGAGATATGTAGATGATTTGCATAATATGCAGCTGAAGGAACATCATTGTATTGTGTGTCCTATAGTTAAACAATCAAGACTATATTTCCCTACTAGTTCTTCTTTCTCTAAGTATATCTTTGATATTGTGCATGGTAATGTCTGGGAGCCATATAGGGTGCCTACACATGATGGCAAGAGATATTTTCTGACCTTAGTAGATGATTACTCCAGATATACCTGAGTATTTTAACTACATTTTAAGTCAGATACAATTGGGGTAATCAAAAGCTTTATAGCAATGGTTTCAATACAGTTTGATCACAAACTCAAATTTCTAAGAACAGACAATGGCACAGAGTTCTTTACTGACCAAATGCAGATCTTGTTGAAGACTCAAGGTATAGAACATCAAAGTTCTTACAAATATCCCTCAACAGAATGGGGTCATTGAGAGAAAGCACAGGTCTATCCTAGACATGGCTAGAACACTCAGGTTCCAAGCCTTTCTACCACTCAAGGTTTGGGGAGAATGTATCTCTACAGCAGTCTATCTTCTCAATTATTCGCCTACTGCACTGTTCCAAGGCAAATCTTCTTTTGAGAAGTTATTTCAAAAGAGTCTTTCATTACAGTATCAGAAAGTGTTTTACAACCTTTGTTATGCCATTACCATAAAAAAAAAAAGGGATAAATTCTGTCCCAAAGCAATCCCAACTGTTCACATGGGGTATTCCTCATCTCAGAAGGGATATATTCTCTATGATTTGTGTTCAAAAGGGTTCTTTGTTAGCAGGGACACTGTGTTCAAAGAAGAAGTATTCCCTTTTAAGCATATGACTTCTGGTGCCTCTCCCTTATTTTCTATCTTAGAGTTTGTAGAACAACCTACACAACCAGTTTTTGACCTTGATGCCTCCTCCTCTGTTGATGCTGAGTATCCTGCACCTTCACCTATCCAGCACTCTACTGATAAAGTTGAATCTTTTTCTTCTTCCATCTCAGATCCTCTAGATCTTGTCCAGCCTATTTTATCCTTACCAA